ATGGTTTTCACGGCTGTCATCGGCCTGGGGGTCTGACTACGAGTACCAGAGCGCAGTGCGGCACTGGCGGCCTCCTTTGTGTATGGGCTGATGCCTTGCTGCATCGAAATGCCTGGAGACACCTTTCCCCGGCCACCTCTGGCTTTGCAGCGCGGCCTGATTATCCCTACCTCCGCTCCCCTCGATCGGTCTCCTCGGTGTCTATGCCTAACCTTCCTTTCTTCGCCTCCCTTTCGACTGTTGGAGAAAGGCAGAGCCTGATCTTAGGCGTGCGGCTCTCCTCCCCCGCCTGAAGTTAGGGCGTGCTCGGGGAGAGCTTAGTGAGTGGAATCCATCCTCCTCACCACCTTCTCTCACCATATGCAAGAGCCAGCCCCACATTGTGCAATGGTCGGCTGGGCCTCGGCATTCTGCACAGAGTTAGCTTTTCAGAGCCCTGGTCAGAGACTTCCTGGGTTTTTACCATCCGACGTTTTTGTCGCTACGATTACTTAGTGACACGGTTCTTTTCGCTTTAAGATTTTCCTTTACAAACATCCAGATGGTTCCTCTCCTGTTTGACTCTCTAAAGCAGCCTCCCAGTCTGTAAGCACACAAATCCGGAGTGTGCTGGACAGTTTCCTTTTTTGCACCTAAACTGAGAGAAAGAATGGTCCTCTTTAAACTGCAGGGAGACAGCGTGAAGGGGGAGAGAGGACGCTCCAAGACACCGGTAGTTAAATCTATTTCCTTTGAGACACTTCGTTTTTTATCAAGGACGCTATGAACTGGCAGAGCTGCTACTGGTCTATAAAATGTGTGTGCCAAATTATAGCTCATCAAAGGCTGAGTAATTTTCTTTTGGGGTTTCTAGAACGCAGGCAATTCTCAACACTACACTGAGGGGCAATATAGCTTGGTGTCCTTTTGATACTAACAGTAATGGGTATTCTTGGTGTAGGTAAAGAGGGGATTTATATACTTGAAAGGCATATGCCTCGGACATAAAACCTAGATAGATACTCTGTCTTGTTTCTTTTTCTTTCCCTTTAGCGGTAGGCCCGAAATAAAAGAGATAAAGTGGTTTGAATGGTTTTGCAGCTGCTCTTGATGTTTACCATGGAGATGAGTATTTATAGCAGCTGAGTTGAAAAGTAAAGTATTTGAATCGCAGAAGATAGGTTTCCTTTTTTTGTAAATAAGTTCTGACTTAACTACGACCTTTAGAGTGGTTGGAAATTCTGGTAAATTCCTAGTAAACAAAAAATGAGTGTGAAAACTGACATGCTTTATTCTATTCCTGTGTTTTTCTCACTCTACCTAAAGACACTCAGGGCCATGCAACATTTTTAAAAAATAGTTTCTTTTCAATTATGACAAAATGTAAATACAGTAACCATTTTAATCTTTTTTAAGTGAACACTTCAGTGGCATTAAGTTTATTCACATTGTGAGAAGGATACTTTTGACCAGGTAGTTGAAACATAGAAACGCTGTTTGGATCCACTTTTAAGGAGTTGAATTTTAGAACTGTATTACCCCCCAAATTAAAATCTTGACCTCTTGTTAGTTAAAGAAACATGAAGAATTGATGTGCCTTCTTAGCTTTGCCTTTTAAGATCAGGGAAATTATTTTGAGACCTTTGACCTAAATTGTCTTATGCATTGCTGTGAAAATTGTAGGATTTCTTTCATAATGAAGGATTATAGCTAGGAGATTTATAATAATATTAACAGTTTTTTGAAACATGTTTTTATTGATTTCAGAGAGAGTTAGAAACATCGGTGATGAGAATCATTGATCTGCCTCCTGCACGCCCCCTATTGGGGATCAAGCCCTCAACCCGGGTATGAGCCCTGACTCAATCAAACTTGTGACCTGCTGGTTTATGGGTAGACACCCAACCACTGAACCACACCCACCAGACATATAACTATTTTTAAAGACTTAATCCCTAGAATGTCTTACATGGTGAGGATGCTATGGTAGGAATGACTCGTGGGTGTTTTTTTTTTAATTCCATCGTTTCTCATTTTTAAATCCTTTACCAAATCAGATTTTAAATAATCCCTTTGTCTTGAAATTAAAATGTTTTCCAGCCCTCGCCAGTTTGGCTTAGTGGATAGAGTGTCAACCTGCGGACTGGAGGGTCACGGGTTCAGTTCCCATCAAGGGCACATGCCTGGGTCTCATCATTGATGCTTCTCTCTTCCTCTCTGAAATCAATAAAAATAATATTTTTTAAAAATGAAAGCCTTTGCTCAAGGGCCTTACTTTTTACTATTGCTTTATTGGGCATGCTAACGCCTTTCCCACACTCATCAGTCTACACCTGCTCTGACCAATGTGGCCACTTGCCATGTCTGGCTATTGTGCACTTGAACTTCGCACAGTTCTGAATTGAAATGTGCTGTAATTGTAAAAAACAAAAGCAAACCATCAGATTTCAAGGAATGTAAAACACATTTATATAGTTTGATTACAAGTGGAAAATAACATTTGGGATATATTCGCTTAAATAAGACGTAATTTCACCTGAATCCTTTGGCCTATTTCAACTTTAATATGATTGCTAGAAAATTTTAAATTACATATATGGCTCACACTATATTTCTGTTGAACAGTGCTGGTCTACGCTGTTACCTGAATGTGTGTCTGACGCATTTCTTCAGCTTCTTCCCACATTGGCATTTGTCTCATTTCAAGTATTAGCATATATAGAAGCAATTAAGTGATAGATGTGTATTTAATTTCAAAAAACTTAGCTGGTAAGGTAACTAACAACCCAGCATAATTATATTTATTACTAAGTATGCACAGAAAGATAGTTGAAACAATTTGACTTTTATTTCATTTCCATTCAACATGTTAATGACATAAAATTGTTTGAACATGGTTAATTTCCTTAGATACTAAAGTAAAAGTGAGTTAAAACCTGGTAAGCACTTTAGTTTGTACAGATTATTAGCAAAAATGCGATATACTTTAACTTGAGTTAACGCACCAAGAAATCTGAACGGGAAAGTTAAAGGCAAGAATATTATTGGTGTAAATCAGCAATAGAGTCTTTCCGTTCCATTGCTGCCTCGGTGGTACTCTAAAAAAGTAGGTTAGATAGCGGGGAGACTCTTTTTCTTAATCCCCACCCTAATCCCCACCCGAGGCTCCGGTTTGTTTTTATTGACTTTGGAGAGGAAGGGAGGGAAATAGCAAACAGCTGCCTGTGTGGGCACCGCACCCTTCAGTTCCCGGATGGTCCTCCAATCTGCTGAGCCACACTGGCCAGCGCCGTGGGGAGGCTGTAAAGCGCGGAGGCTTTCACTAACATTGTCCCCACGTGGGTGCTGTGCAGACCTTGAGAATAATTTGTCAAACGGTAAACTGGGTTATGTGGTATATTTTAGATGGATTACCAATATCACAAAAACTGTTTTGGTTCAAAACTATTTATTTGATTTCTACTATGTGCTTGGCAACTGGGGAAGCTAGTAAATAACAAAATAGGTGTTGATAAATATGAGACAGGTGAGATAGGGATTAACTATTTGGTTTATCAATTTAAAACAAGGAATTGGCTTTAACTCCTAAAAATTGGTGATAATGTTTTCATACAGAGCAAAGGAAAGGAGTTGATTACTTAGCAATCAGGGAGACTGGGATCCACATTTAAATTGTTCCTTAGTTTTCTGATTGGTGCTCTGTAATTCATGTGACTTAAATGTTTAGTTTAATAATGTTAATGATGAATGGATTGCCAATTTTATTAAAATACCTAATGGATATCTTGTGTTTTAGTAAGTGTTAATTTGATTGAAAAGTATTTAGTTAATCATGGAAATGTCAAAACTGAAGTTAACTAATGAAATGATAGCCACTCTGAATTATTCATGATTTTGGGTCGGTTTGTTTGAGCTTTAATATATCCTACTAGGCTTTATTAATGCCTAAGACTGACCCTCTATTGCTTCAGATTTTAGATTCTGGAAGTGTTTTATCTGTGTTACTAAGTGGCAAACCTGGCAGTTCTTAACACAATACTAGGTTTACCGGTTAATAATGGCGGATTTTGTAATCACAACACGATAATTTCAAGAGAAACACCAAAAGTGCTTTATTCAAAGTAATGACCATCACTAGCTACAAATTTCCTCCATCTTCCGTGTAATTTGTGATACCGTCCCATTAGAACTTTTCTTGTTTTGAGGCACACCATTCAGAGACCCAATTTTCACTTCTTCATTGAAGTGCTGCTCAGAAAGTGCGTGTGCCATCGATGGGAACAAGTGGTCATCTGAAGGAGCAAGCGCTGGTGAACATAGCGGGTGGGTTCATACTTCCCAGGCAAGATCTTTTAACGTGTCTTTAACTGGTTTTGAAGGGTCTGGTGGTGCGTCATCATGAAGCAAAATTACTTTGCTGTGTCTTCTGGCCCATTCTGGTCGTTTTACTATTAAAGTGTGGTTCAAATTGATTGATTGTTGTCTGTAACGATCTGTATTAACAGTTTCACCTGGTTTTAGAAGCTCATAATACACCACACCTTCCTGATCCCACCAAATACAGAGCACTGTCTTCTTTCTGAAGCGATTTGGCCTTGCAGTCTATATTAATGGTTGACCTGGATCAACCCATGATTTTGTGTGTTTGTGAACACTCAATCATTGAGCCAACCCATGATTCTCAAAATAAATCCACTTTTCATCGCCAGTCACAATTTTATGCAAAAAAGACTTTTGTACCTTTGAAGCAGCGTTTTCCTGATGACTTTTCGGTTTTCCGTTGTCTTTCAGTTGATGTGGCACCCATTTTCCTTCCTTTAAAATCTTCCCCGTTGCTTGTAAACGATCAGAAATTGTTTTCTGAGCAACGTTTAATCTTTCTGCAAGTTGTTTTTGAGTTTGATGCACACAAATCTTCATCCAATAATGCTTGTAATTGTCAATCTTCAAATTTTTTCAGTTGATCTGGACGTTCTTTGTCTTTCACATCAAAAGCATCACTTTTAAAGTGTTTAAACCAGCGTTCACAGTATCTTGAGATGGAGCATGTTCACCATAAACTTCCCAAAGTATACAATAACTTTTTCTTAAAAACAATGAATTAAAACTTCCCGCAAATGCTCGTTTTGGTCCGAAATTTGACACTTGTAAGTGTAAGAATATCTAGGATGTTAACACCTTCAGCAAATTTGACATACGAAGTTTTGAAGCTTGCTGTCAAACCAGTTCAAATTTTTTAAGATAAGTTTTTTTTCCTTGATTCTCTGTCCCATAATATGCACAACCTTGTTAAGTAGTTACTCGTGGATATCATTAGATATCAGTTCTGAGATGTTTGGGTTCATAAATAGACCTAAGTTATTAAGATTAAACCATTGTACCAAATCTGTTTTTAAGAGATTAATTCTTTATTTTTAAAATTTTTTTATTGATTTTTAGTGAGGAAGGGAGATGGATAAAAGAAACATCCATTGACTGCTTCCTGCATCCCACCCCAACCCCTACGAGGGACCAAACCAGCAACCCAGGCTAGTGAACACTCAACCATTGAGCCACACTGACCTGGCAAAAGATTATTTATTGATTAGATAATTAAGACTTTATATAGTTAGTCAAAACAAAAATTTATGCATCAACTACTTTTTGCTCTGTTATTTTCTGCCGTGGTTAAGTTTAGAAGTACTGGGTAAGGCTCTAAAGGAGACTGTAATAGAGAAATAAATTTGATTTTTGCCTCGGAATTTTGAAATAAAATTGGAGGAACAAGATGCATAAACATGAAGTAAGCAAAGTACAGAATTGATTTGATACCAAAAAGAATGATACAGGCAGTAGGAGTTACTGTCCACATAGTGGGAATTAAGCTAATAAGTCAATGCCTGTATGGTCAAGAAAGGGTGTTTGTTTTATTTGTTTGTGGGTGTGGTTTTTTATGTCACCTTGAGGATGGCAAAGTTATATTCTATGTGGGAAGAGCCGTATGAACAAAGAGGTGCTGAATTCAAGAATCTTCCAAGAGTTGTGTTTAAAGATTAGGGAAGAGAGGCTGTGCGCTTGTCCAGGAGAATTGGAGAGCAATAGAAGGTCAAGAAGGCAAGGTAGAGCAGAGACATCGTGGGTGGTGGTTCTTAAACCCTGGTTGCAAGTCAGAAACATCTTGGGGAAAGGGAATAAACAAAATATGCCAAATTCTGGGAACTAAACCTAGTGAAAAATTAGAATGTCATCGTGGCGTTCAGGCTTTGATTTATTTATTTTTTTTAAGTTGCCCAGGTGGTGGTTGGGTTGGATATGCAGCCAGGATTGGAGACTTACCATAAAGAGTGTGGTAAAATCACAGGGTTTTGGACAAGGAGGTGGGATAAAATTGAAGTTTTAGATCAGGCTTGACAGTATTATTTGACGGAAAATGGAGGGGATTGACACTGAAAGCTGACAGCTGTGTTAGACACCTGGATTAACATATGATGTCATTTAGTATGTTAAGATGAAAACAAAAGATACTTTAAGGAAACATTGTTAAGACTTGCAACATTGGGCGTGGAGGTGGAGAGGGATGAATCAGTCATTATGGAAGTGGCCCTACTGTAAGCCAGTTAAATACTCTTGAGTGGGTCCTGGGCATGGGTATATTTTAGATCTGCCCACATGGTTTGAGAACCATAGCTCTAAGAATAAGTATCTAGTCTGGTTATTAGGAGAATGATCCAAATAAAATGGTGTTTGAACAAATGTTAACAGTTGATATTTGAAGTAGCAATGTATTGTCATGGGATGTTAGGTATAACTACAAAAGAAATGGCCACAAATCAGTTATTACTAAGTTTTCATTTTGCATATGAGAAACTGAAATTTAGTGAGATTAAATAACTTCATACTGGCATTTTATTAGTATCACTGATTAGAATTGAGCTGTGCTAGTCTAAGCTATTTCACCAACTCTGGCTGGCCTCTATCTGAATTATGGTTCTTTTTTTTTTTTCCTTATGGTTCTTGTTTGTGATGTTTTTCAAATATATATTCACTTTTCAGCTTCTCTAAGACTAAATCTACCTTTTTCTTCCCAGAGAAATCATTTTAGTTAACATTTGAATCAGTGCAAAATAATTTTTATAGCTAATATAAAGCATAATTCTTGTATTTATACATATATTCCTCTTTTCATTTCATCTCATCTTAATTGTTTTTCTTCTATAGACATTTCTCATCTATTTATGGCAACAGCTCATTAATGTTTCTCTGCTTCCTTCATTAAGTCATCTATCTCTCAAAGCATTTCAAGACTTAATACTCTTTTATCAAGAATTAAGACTGCCCTTGCTGGTTTGGCTCAGTGGATCGAGATCCCTATTAGGAGGCATGCAGAAAGCAGTCAATCAGTAATTCTCTCTCATCATTGATGTTTCTGTCTCTCTTTCTCTCTCCCCCTTTCTCTCTCTCCTCTCTCTCTGAAATCAATTTAAGAAAAGAAGAAAGAACTAAGACGGATTCCTGTTATATCAAGTTGAAATGCTTCATAGCCTGGCGCTACAGCACCTGTCACATCACAATCCCATTTCACTTTCATCCAGACTTTGTCCTAGCCAGCTAGCCTATTGATTCCTTTTAAAACAACGAGCCACACTTGTCACCCAGTCATTCACTCAATAAACCTCCCTGGATATGCTGGGCAGAGAGCATCATATGCATGGTCCCTACTCTCAGGGGATTTAAAATTTAAAACTGACATACTCTGACTTGGCTTCTATGATATTTCATACCTCACCTGTTTTCTTTCTCTTAAAATCTGCCCATTTCTCCAAATTAAGCTCAAATTCCACCTTTTATTAAAAGCCCTCTCTGACTTTGCTCATCATGTTGCTTTGATACACATACAGTGATGATTAAACAATACCTAGTATTTCTAGTATATGACGTAGTGGGCACCCAGATATTAGTTGAGCAAATTAATTTTTGACATTTTTGTCCTATAGTCTGCTTTTTCTTCATGTATAACTCTTCTCAGCAGAGTGTCAACCCCCTGTAATGACAGGAACTTTTTTTATATTTTCTACAGTACCTCACATAATGCTAAATGTTTATAAAACACTTGTACTAAATATTATGTTATGTAACTTAGAGCTTGAGGGGGGTATCAACAATGACCGAAATAATTTCTGGTTTTGAGTATCTGATGTTAAAGGAGGTGTATCCATTAGCACATGAGAGATTGCTTGAATAACATCAAATGAATGTGCTTTTAAGTTGCCTGTAATGCTTGCTTGACCACTGATTCTAAGTTAATGAGATGAACTGGTCCCCGTACCTATCCTCTGCCCCGGGTTCTTTTATGGAAGTTATATTTAATGTCTTTGATCCTTTTTTTTTTCTAGTATGAAGTGTAACAGAACAGACTTTACCACCTGAAACTGCTGCTTCAAGGTCAGATCAGGCAAAGAACAAACTTGAAACAACCAACAAGACCAAAGAAGAGTACACTTAACTTAAGTTGAAGACACAACACTTGATCTGAAACAAGAAGTTTGTGCCTACTCAACAGCTTTGAAAGAGCACTCCCCACGCTGCCAGTAGTCTGTTCTCCTCAGTGCTGTGCTGTGAGACTGCCCGTGCAGCAGCAGCTGTATTCCTGTTAGCTCCATAGGTCATTTTCTCTCGCTCTCCTTTTTTTTTTTTTTTTTTTTTTTTTAATACTAGCAACTTTCATCCTTTGAAACGTGTGCTGAAAAAGAAGAATCAGCAAATACTACTGAAAGTGCAATATTTGATTATCACTGCGAGGTAGGTTTGTAGTTCCGTGATGGACAATAATCTTATGTAATAAAAGCGTAATACGCAAATCGACTAAACAGCAGAACAATGCGCACTGACCACCAGGGGGCAGACACTCAATGCAGGAGCAGGCCCCAGGCTGGCCAATGTGGGTGCCAGCAGGGGGCCCCAGTGATCACCCTGCAGGTCACCACACGATTTCGTGCACCAGGCCTCTACTCAGTTTATAATTCTGATTTCCTAATGATTTGATCAGATACAAAGTCCTTCTAATCAGTTCTAAAAATATTCTGAAAACCACATTTTCAACTATTGAGTTGAAATATCACTAGATTAAATTATTGTCTTGCTTGATGGGAGCACTTTTATGGCCAAAATTGAGATATTTTCCCCATAAGATTATATTTATTCATATATATGCAGATCTCTTGGTTTATTGGTCTCTTAGAAAAACTCCATCTGTATTATTTGAAGCTAGGATTTCAGGTAGGAATGTCCGTTGTATTACATTGTATTTGTGTGGAGGTCTTTGTAACCTACGATAAAGCCTACAGAAAAGGTTCATTTGAAGGTGAGCAGTACTTTGTTCTTGTTTTTTTGTTTTTTGTTTTGTTAATATATTTTATTTTTTACAGAGAGGAAGAGAGAGAGATAGTTAGAAACATCAAGGAGAGTCATTGATCAGCTGCCTCTTGCACCCTTGAATCAAACCCGGGACCCCTCAGTCCGCAGGCTGACGCTCTATTCACTGAGCCAAACCGGTTTTGTCAAGCAGTACTTTGTTAAGAGGGAGAAGAGTATTCTGGTGGAAGTGAAAACACATGGTGTTTGTTGAGTGGGCCGTTGTGAACAGGGTGGGGAGATGGAGAGAGTAACTGGAAAGGGAGGCTGTTAGAGGCAGGTTCTGAAGGGCCACTATATTGCACTTGATTCTGTAGGAAAGTTGCCAGATGTTTGTAAGCAAGAGTTTAATGGATTTTGTATTTCAAAAGAGATAGCTTTAGGTTTTTAAAGTTATGTAATTAGAAGTATATCTTCAAAGATAAATGGGTCCACTTTAAAGAGATATGTGGACCCACTGCTCTTAACAGTATGGAAAGACCTGTTAAAAGCGGTGGCTAGAGCCAGGACCGGTTTGGCTCAGTGGATAGAGCGTCAGCCTGCGGACTGAGGGGTCCCGGGTTCGATTCTGGTCAAGGGCATGTACCTTGGTTGCGGGCGCATCCCCAGTGGGGGGGGTGCAAGAGGCAGCTGATCGATGATTCTCTCTCATCGATGTTTCTAACTCTCTGTCCCTCTCAATTCCTCTCTGTGTAAAATCAATAAAATATATTAAAAAAAAAAAAAAAGCGGTGGCTAGAGCATAAGGAAGGTAAACCTTAGGGTACAGTCTAAGAAAGGTAGGTGCTAGCTGGTGTTCTAATGGTGGAAGTGATAGGACGTGGTGACCAACTGAATGTGAAGATGAGCTTGGAGGGAATTGACTTACAGTCTATCCAGTTGTCCAAGCTAGAACTGTTTGTGAAAATGGGGACGTTTTGTTACAGAGTTGGTGTGGGAGAAGACAGCCGGACACTTGGAGGTTCAGGAAAAGCCTTTATTCAAAGCCGCGCTCTGGTTCGGGGGACTATAAGATCCAGATCCTGAACAACTTAGACAGTGAGATTTCTCTTTATATATTTGAGTGTCTTTGTTTCCTAACTACCAAGCTTCTGTGGTGGACTCTCCCCCCCCCCCAATCAGTCAGAATGGTTAGTTTAGATCATATAGGTTGTAGCTAATGTCCGTCCTGGATGGGCCAGTGACCTCCCTCTAGTTAAGCTGTTACATCCTTGGTTTACGGCCCCTTGTAAATGGGAAGTATTTAGATAAATAGCTCTTGCGAGACCAGATAATTAAGGAAGGGCAGTGACTTCAGGAATGTGGACTGGTCCCCATCAGAGTCAGTGGGGACCTGCTGGAATTAAAACCTGCATTGTGGAGATTTATTGTATTCATCCACTAATTCAAAGTTGAGGAAGTATGCTATATGGAATGCTAAACAATGGTAATTTAGATGGGAAGTTAGATTTATGAAGATCAATTTTACTTTTTAATCTTAAGTTTTCTAAAGTGGGTAGTATTAGGCTTGAAATTCAGAAAGGATTCCTCACTTTATAACGATAAAAGATAGTGTGCCAAAGAAGAGAATGTTCATTTGTGTCATTTGCTTTTCCTCTTTGTTTCTTCATACCTCTTCATCTGTTTTGGTTATTTTGGTGTGTTTTTTTTTAATAAAAGTTTAGACGGTTAGTGATTGATTGTGCTGGGTTGGGTAAGATAATAAAAATTGAATACTGCTTTACCTTTATTCAGAAAGGTAAAAGACTAGATATCAAGATTTCCATTTCATTCTATTGAAATAGATTTCAAGTAGAAGTGCTTTTTCTTTAACCTAATCTTTGTATTCTGAATATTAGTTTGCTATGTAAGTCGGTTATAAACATTGTGCTATGTTATCACAGCTGTTTAAGATGGAGAACGTTTTTACTGTGCCATCAGATCCTCTTCCCCCTCCTGCATCCCCTCCTTCACTTTCTTTATCTTCATCTTCTACCTCATCTGGGACAAAAAAACAAAAGAGGACCCCCATGTATCAGAGATCTGTAAGTCAAGGAAGCAGTTACCCCAGCCTGTTTGCTTTGTGTTTGTAGCATGGCTTAGGGATACTCAGTTTGGTTAAAATACCTTGCAGACTCACTTTCTAACTCCCTGAGCATTTCCTTCACCTTGAATCTTGAAAGATAAATACAGTAGTGTGGGGCTGTGCTGCTCACAGTGTGTCTTAGAATCGAAAGTATCACTTTGGGAGCTTGTGAGGAGTGGAGAATCAAACCCCTGTCCCGCTGAGTCAGAATGTGTATTGTAACCAGATCACTGGATTGCCTAGTGTGGAGCCCAATTGTAGACATTGGCCCTTCTTGGTTTGACATCACTCCCATTTGACTTTGGCGAGTCATTTAGTCTCTCTGTGTTTCCTCATTGTTAAAATGGGGAAATACTTCTCATGGGTTTTTGTAAAGATTAAATGAGTTAACACATGTCAGACAGAATAATATTAAGCATGAAAGAACTAGAACTAAATTCGATAGCTTTGATTTGCATCATCTGGCCATCCCACACATTGTTTAAGTATTTGTGCTTGGCTTTATCTTCCTACAACTTGAGTACTTTTTCCTACTGAAAAACATTGCACTTAAACGAAATGCTTATAAACCACAAATAATTTGTTTTTATGGCTTAATGAAATATCCGATGTGAGGACAGTATTTGATGAACTAAAGAGGTTGCATTGCATTACATCTAAATAGCTCCCCTTTTCTCTAAGGAACGTTTTCCTTTGCTTTATCTGATCATAAAAATAACGGCATTTAGAGATTTTATCAGTGTCTAAAATAGGTGAAGACTTATTAAAAGTACCTGTGAAATGATTGAACATTTTCAGAATTGAAGAATTTTTTTCTTGGAGTTTATGTTAGAAAACACTTGTTTTCTAACTCACTATTTTGGGTTGTTTTCCATTAAAGGAACCTAAGCATGCATGCATTCTGATATTTTCTGGTTTGAAATAAGTATTGCCTATAAAGTTTATTTAATCTCTACTAACATAAGTAATTGTTTTCAAGGTGCATGGCTTATGAAATAGTATTAAGGTTTCCATTTTAAGTTTCAAAGTAAGTGTTAATAAATTTCTTAAGGAAGTGTGCTCATAGTTTAAATTGCCATCTCTTAAATTTACCAAATTGTTTTAAGATTGTTCTTAAAGTTAACATAAAGGCAGCTTTTACTTACGTTGTTGATTTACCTTAATACTAGCATCTGGAAATTTGTTTTTCTAGTAAGCAAAAATTCTACCATAAATTGGGACAATTTCCCAAAATAATTCAAATATTTGCTCTGAAATGTTTTAATAGCTAAATTTGCATTTCAACAATAAAAGCCCATAATCTTCCATTTATCGGTTTTATCTTTATTTTGTTTGCCTTTTTATATTAAAAATTTAATGATTTGTTAATTAGGCCTATGCTGTGGAGGTAATGTACAGATCTATATATATTGAGTTCTTTTTCTTTTCAAAACAGATGAGCTTTGATCCAAACCTTCTCCATAACAATGGACACAATGGGTACCCCAATGGTACTTCAGCAGCACTGCGAGAAACAGGGGTTATTGAAAAACTGCTAACCTCTTACGGATTCATTCAGTGTTCAGAACGGCAAGCTAGACTGTTTTTCCACTGTTCACAGTATAATGGCAACCTGCAGGACTTAAAAGTAGGAGGTAATCTGTTGATTCTCCTTTTTTAAAAACCAATCACAAATTTCTTTTTCATATCAATTGCTAATGAGTGTTAGTTTGGGTCTTTTAATTCTACCAATTATTTAAGTATGTCTATATAAACTAGCAGAATTCTGATTTCTATTGTAGTGTTGTCTTTTTGAGCGATGAAAGGCTGATTAAAAGATATCTTGGAATATTTTTTTAAATAGATACTTAGAAGGTTTAAGTTACTCCCCTAATAATGACTCTTTATACTGTACTTGATTTTTAGGCCCATAGAAAGATTCAACTTTTCTAGTGTTTTGATTATTTTACCAGGTACTAGTTTGGTAGTACCTGAAAAAATAACTCTTTCAGCTTCACACTTGCACTATATGA